AAAGTCAGGCCCCACAGGCCAAGACGCTGCCGAGTGGTGAGGGTACAGGGCGGAGGCTGGCCACAAGCAGAGCGGGGCTCCCACTAGGGTGGGAAGCTCCCAGCCCGGACCTCCACTTGCAGGAGCAAGGGTGGTGATGGGGTCTCAGCCCTGGCCACAGCAGTCTTCCAGCTACAGTGGGACAGGCCCTGGGGAGCGTGAAGAAACCCATGGCCGCACATCAGAGCCCCGGACAGGCTTCACCTGGGCAGCAGGCAGGGAGCGTGCAGAGAGCAGGAGAGGTCGTGGCCACGGCAAGGAGAGCGGCGGCACCAAGAGCTAGTCACGCAGCTAGCCCTGCGGCCACACCAAGCACATGCGTGACAGGCCTGTGCAGCCAGGCACGAGCACCCCTGGGAAAGCGCCCCACGCGGCACCTCCAGACAGGCACAGGCCAGGTCCCAGAGGGAGCAGCCGGGCCTGGGGCCAGCGCCCCACCAACCCGTGCAGCAGCACATGGGGGAAGGTCGCTCGATATGGCCCACAAAGCTCATGGCTAATCACAAAGCCAGACACAAGCCATATGTCCCACATGTGTGGCCAAAGCTCAGCATGCAAGCTTACAACCAGTTGGCGTGTGGCACTACCACTTAAACCCAGCTGGGGGTGCAGCGCAGCCCCTGGGGGTGGCAAGATGGGGCCTGTGATAAAATGCACTACCAGGAGCCTGCCAGGCCACGCTGGGGTGTGCAGAGCTGGCCATGTTGCAAACATGGTACGGCATTGTTAGGAAGCTCCTCCAACAACCACCTGGGCCATGAGACCCAGGGAGGTCCAGCCCAGCCCCCATGTCCAAGGCTCTTGGGGGTCCTCTATGTATGAGGACAGCCATGTAGCTGCAACCCTGGAGTCACGGACCCTCCCGGGACCACCATCCCTGCCCAGCATTGGGGGGGGGGAAATCACCTTCACCAGCACGAGCCCACTCTCCTCGTGCTGCCCCTGGGGCCAGGCCGGGTTGATGGCTGAAACCGAATGGTGAAGCTGTGCTGTTGTGCATGGCAAACAGCAGGGAGAGAGAGAGAGGGAGAAGGAGGGGGAAAAAAAAAAAAAGAAGGTGAAGAAAGAGAAAAAAAGAGTGAGAGAATGAAAGTGAGAAAGGAGGGAAGTTCAGAGGAGCAGAGAGCCCTCCTGCCCCACGGACCTGGGCCTGGGCTAGGGCTGGGATCCCGAGGCATCGGGTGAACGAGCGCAGCCAGCACCCCTGGTCAACGCGAGGCCTTGCCCAGGCGCTGTGCCACCCCCCCTCGCCTCCCCTCTGCCTGCTGCCGACCTTGTTTCGGTTTTCTATCAAATCCTAAATTAGTTCAATTTACAACCTCTCAGTCACAGGAAACTAAATCTGGCTCCTCTCGGCCCAGAGCCAGCTGGAGACGCGAGCTCCTAGCGGCAGTCAGTGCTGCGCGGGAGCTGGGCTGGAGCCTAGGGTGCCCAGCCCATAGCTCACCCTGTCCTGGCCCAGCCACCGGCACCGCCTGTGCCCCGGCTGCCACCACCGTGCCGCAAGCCACCGTGCGACAGCCCTGCGCAAAGGCACGGGGAGGGGTACCTCAGACCTGCTCCCCTGGCACAGATCTAGACCAGGTCACGGGGCATGAAGATGAACACCAGAAAAGCCCCAAAGCCGCAGAAATCAAGCCTAAAAGAGATCCCACAGGCAACAAACGCTGCAAGTCAGGAGGCTTTGAGGGCAGTCTCCCCAGTCCTCTTAACTCTGCTCTCCAGCCCCCTCCAAAACACGCCATTCACATGACCGGGGCCAGCTGGGCTGCACGAGCTGAGCACAGCACGTCAGCTCCGTCTGTCTGTCTGTCCGTCCGTCCGGCTCTTAGCCCCTCGGCAGCAACGCGTTACAAGTTAGGAACGGAAAGAGCCTTTTCCAAGTCGGATGCCTTTGCACCTGCTGGCGGGGCCCGAAACCACACACTGCAGCCCAGGGGATTTCAGCCTGGCTTTGAGTCACAGCAAGTGAAGGTGCAGAAACGCTCCAAGTTGCCCATATGCGGATGTCTGCACAGCATCTGCGGACTGCCTTTTCTTAGCCCTGCTTCCCACATCCCACAGAAGCGATGCGGACCCCCGGCAGGTTTCAGATCCCTACTGACGTAGGGGAGGGAGACGTCCCATTTTGACGCAAAGCCTCAGCGCGAGTCTTCCTTCTCCTCCTCGTGCTCTCCCCTCGCTCGCGCACACCTCCCACCCGCCGGGCTGGAGCACACGAGCGACACCTCTGCGAGCAGGGAGCCCAGGCTGGGGAGGGAAAGCGGGAGAGGAAGGCGGCACTTTGAGGTCCATGAGATGTACCAAGTAGGACCCCCCCACACACGTGAGCCAGGGAAGTTGGGCCCGGGAAGCTTTATCTGACAAGGAAGCTTTATCTGACAAGCCCCTGCCTTTCACGCTGTTTTTTGCCTCTAATAGCACAGTTGGAAGAAGACTGGTGCGAGAGGTACTTCAGATCTTGCCTTGACATTTCTGTAGAAAAAGCTTTTACAACGGGGCTTCGCTGCAGCAGCGTGCGACAGCTCACTGCCCTTTCCAAGGGACTGCTTCGCTGGATCCCTAGATAAGATGCCGAAGCGCACTTGCTATTCAGGGAATTATAGGGCAACACAGTGTTTCAATTAACTACCGAGTCCACCGCACCTCAACGCGGGGAACCTGAGTGGAGATCAGAAACGCAGGACAGAGCCCACAGCCCCAGCGGATAAATTAACTCCGCCTAACTCAGCGGAACAACATCGATTCCCCCAAGCTGAGGATCTCGTCCATGGTCTTTACCCAACCTGCTTGAGCTATGAGTCCTGCAGAAACCACAAAAGCTCCACATGTTCCCTAAATCTCACAAACCTCAGGCTTTCCCCCAAAGTTCCCCCAGGGAATTGGGTCGGGGGAGCAGCCAGCGAGGCACCAGAGGAGCCTGTGGGATGCCACGGAGGTGCTGAGCCCCAGCGGGCCACTCTTCTCCCTGGGGCCCGGGTGTCACCCTCACCC